AAGCCATGAAGCCACGAAACCCGATCCTCCCTAAGTAGAATAAATAAGGAGTAGACAGGGTTCGAGACTATTCGGATTAAATATGCGGTCACCAAGTTAACCAATATTTAATTTTGTACATTCATATTCGGGCCTTTCAAGCGCTTTCAATAAAGAATTTTGAACAAAGGCATAAATCTAAGAGAACCGATCCGCCCTATCGCAAGTTGATAGGGGTCGACAAGGTCAATCAAATGGAAATGACCCAAGAACACACCGATGATGGCCATGTGATTGCTTATCTCAACCGGCAGGGGTTTACAAGCATTTTTCAAAATGATCTCATAATATCCAAAATGTCTCCAAGCTTCAACGCCACAACACAAACAACAACATCAAGCCTTTATCACCACTACAGTGGGGCAGGCTACATGAATCACTTTTTCCTCATTGTGTCCTTAAAAGTCAAATTCTCTGTTAAATTCTATAAAGAAAGTGCTATTCTAATATTTCTAACCAAGTCTTTTGGTCTACCCAGCCTACCTTTCCTTAATTCACAAGTCAAACTCAATACCTCTACTCCTCTACGATTCACTCAGGAAGCCCGATTTTTATTGTGACCAAACCATCTAAGCGCTGACTTCCTCAATTATCTTCACTGGAGACTACTCCACAACCTTTTCACTGATATATGCTTCATTTCGATATCCTATCTCTAAGAGTAAAGACATTGCAATCATCCATCCTGGAGCATCTTCCTCATCTCGTACCACACTTAACTTAGATATTATGTACTCTCTTTTAAAGGCCAAATTTAGGCAATCATTAAAGCATTGCAGGCCTCGGACTACCACTTACTTATAGAATTCTTCCCCTTAAGCTTGAGGGATACATTTCTATCCATTAACAAGCCGAGGCATTCCTACCACTTTCAAACCATCCAACTTGATTCTGCTTGATAAATCCCCATACTATTCACCATCACTCTGAAAAATAGATCCAAATATTAAACGTGTACTCTTATTAATGACTTATCGCCCCAAGTCACAATCCCTCCCTAGGAGGAAGTTACGACATTTTGTGCGGAAGCAACAACAGGAGTCCACCGACTGTGAAGTTAACTTCCTCCCTTTCGATCGCCTCTTCGGCCCTTTCGTTGCTGTTCGACTTCGCTCTCCGGACGGCTTTCCCTTCCCGCTCGGGTCGAAAACAAGAGCGGGAGCTCGCTGCTGTGTAGGTAATTTTCCCCCTACCGCACGCTTCTTTGGCCTAATCCCGTAAATCCGCCGAATGCAAGGATTAATGATGGTTTTGGATTTTTAATTAAAATTAATTTTAATTAATTTTAATTAGTTAATTCATTATTATCATTTTAATTAATTATAATGAATTTTAATTTTAATTATAATTAATTATTATTAATTAGTTATAATTAATTAAATTTAATTAATATTAATTAATTATGATTAATCAAAAATCATAATTAATTATGTTAATTAAATATAAATAATTATAATTAATTATTCTAATTAATTGTAATTAATAATTAATATATATAATAAATTAGAAATGATTCTAATTAATTAATTATTATTAATTATAATTAATAATAATAATAATAATAAGAAAAAAAAGCATGCCTACCTCTCTTGCCTCGATCCTCGAGCCGACAGTCGCCGACAACTCCTCCCCGCCGGTCTTCAAGGTATCAGTTCTAACTTAAACCCCGCCCTCGACGCACTTGATGTGCCGGTGGACCCACTATACGCGCTCTTGTAGCACGATGGGAGGAAATCCAGTGCGACAGGTACGACGAGGCGGGTAAGCCCTATACACGCTCTTGTAGCGTGGTGGGGACGGTCCTCGACTTCAACACCGACACCGCCGACGACTGCTACGCAAAGGTATGATGTTCCAAATCCTATTCTCGACGTTTGCGACGGACCGGAGAACCACCTATACGCGCTCTTGTACCACGATAGGAGGGAGCCCGGTGCGAAGTATATGGCGAGGTGGGTAAGCCCTATACACGCTCTTGTAACGTGGTGGGGAGAGCTACTGGTGTTTCCTACGAGTACTGCTGAAGGCCCCAGACACGCTCTTGTAGCGTGGTGGGATGAAAACGGCCGTGGTGTCTAAGGACACCTACCATACACGCTCTAGTAGCGTGGTGGGAAGGCCCAACTCCCCTACTTTCCCCCAAATGGGGGATATGCCGGCGTGCCGCCGAAATTTTCACTGAAATACACAAGACTTGAACAATTTGAAGACCTCACTTGAACAACAACAAAAGACTCATACTTGAACATGAATGCATAGAACTCGAACTAAATGTGCAGAGGATTTATATGAACAACAGGGGACTTGGACCTGAACAAAAATCTAAGTAATTTCTAAAGATCAAACCGAAATGAAATAAAATCAAAACTGAAGCCCAATTCAAATCAATTTGAACATGAAAATGAACTTACAAGGACTCCAGAAGACTTTAAACAAAATGTGAGCATGCACTTTGAATTCAAACTGGATTGAATACAAGGGACCTGTGAACTTGTGCACTCAGCTCGAACTTGAGTGAACTCAAATTGAACTCAATTTGAAGAATGACATGAATTAGACAAGATCACTTGAACTTGTACTCTGAACTCAAGCTAAATCCAAGTTTGACATGAACAATAAGGAGCTTGAACTTTTAAGGACAATAAGGGAGACTCAAGCATGAGTGGAACTTTGAATTCGGGTCCGATTGAATACATAAGAATGGGACTTTGGATGAACGAACCAATCAAAGTCTAAGTGCACAGTGGGAAATTAAATCCTAAGCTCATGAAAGAAGAATGCAGCGAACTCCTACGACAATCCCTATAATTGCCTGTTGATTGAGAAGGCAACACTACTACTAGATAGTCAAAGACACGTCCTCTATAAACAAATCCAGACATCATACCACCTGAGATTGGTGAAAGATGGATACGATACTGATGTAAATGACCCTTCTACAAACACTTCCAGGGGATCGTAGTGAATACGAAGGTCCCCTGCAAATGGATACTTATGGATAACAACAGTGTATTGTAAGTACAATGAATCACTGTGGACACAAGTACGGATATTACCTACAACGACGGTGACCAAGATCTACAAGTGCGTTGAGTACAAGGGCGACTCTATGTACGAAAAGGACACCCTCTGACAGAAAGGAGAAAATGTTTGAACAAATTAGAACTAAATTTCCTGGTGTTCCAAAGTCTCTTCTTAGTTCTATACTTGAGAAGAAAACAGTTCGGGTGCCCACAAACACCGGAAATAACAAGTCCACTACATTGATGACCTCAAAGGGAGTTCTTTCCAAAACAACAGTCATTGGCTCCAAAGTTCAGGAAGACCCTCCCCGGTGAATGAGAAAGGGGGAGTCAACATCAAGACACCACGCCACCGGATCTGCAACATTCGTACAAGCAGACAGAAGGCGTGTATAAGCTCTTCAAGGAAATGTTGTGCATTCAAATGATAGATACTTACACAACTACAATTATTTCAAAATACCCCTGCACGTACACTATAAATTGTATACACATAGGTACACTAAATGGTAAAATATAATCTCGACCCGCATGGGCCCTGGCGAGCGTGTTATTGGTACACACGTGATGCCTAAAGATGTTGTGCAGGTCAATAAGTGAATTCAAGTTCAAACCTGATCCTTCTATACGGGTCAATAGAAGTCGACAAGGTTCGAACCAACAAATAAGTATACAGTTGCGATGGCTAGTATATTTGTTTTATTGCATTCATATTAGGCCTTCAAGGTCTATAATTAAGAGAATTTATTAAACAAAAAAGCAAAATCCATCCACCCTCCGCAACAGTTTGTCGGGGTGGACAAATTCAAATTTACTTCAGCTCACAAAGAGCGAAATGCCTAGTCGAAAATATCACTAGGATCCATTCTCAAACAATCTCCTGCCAGTAAGGACGTGGTACGTGTCCTCTAACCGGCGGTCTGCCGCTAAATGGCCACCGCAGGATAAACGGTTATGACCCGGGGCCCTCTGAACCGCGTGGTTTTGCCGCCACAGATAGCGGTTATGGCCAGAGCCAATACGCTCCTTAATGGCGTTAAATCCTTGAGATATGAATCAATAGGGTATGATTGATAGGGCACAAAGCCCTCTGTAAGCTAAGGTGGATTCAAATCTGTTCCCTTAGACAAACATCAACCCCGGTCTACAAGGTTCCCTTGGACGAAGCAACCCATGGCTGCCGACAAGGATCCTTCTGTCAGGTTGGGTCGACTACCTCCTCTGACTAAGTAGACTAGGGTCCATGATGACCCGGGATGACGGAACCATGGGATCTTGATCGGGTCTATCATCCATTCCCCCACCATCCGCTTTAAGTTCCAGATGGTGAAAATTCCAATTTTAAATATCAAATTTCTCAAATCTTTCAAACCAAATTCCAAATATATGAACCTTCAAATTCTCAAACACCCAAATCTTCAGATTTCCAAAATTCTATATCCATTGCTGCTACTATATGCCAGATAACGTGTATTCTATACGTATCTGATTGATGACTAGCCTTAATCGAAAGTTCTCTCTCGTGATCGGGAGGGGTAATTAACTATAGGGGCTTGCGCCTATAGGAAACCAGAACTCAGATCATAAAGTCCTCGCAAAATGAGGGCGAAATCTCTGGGTAGTGTCTTATCTACAAACTCATCTTCCTTCCAAAATTTACCCCGGAACTTAGTTCGTTAAAACTCCCTCGCTCAAGCAAAAGCAAACAATCAAAAGTGCGGCGAGGAGGCCGGGGCCGAATTTTCAGAGCCCACAAGTGACATGATCCCTCTTTAACATTTAAAGTTTACCAAAAAAAAGCAATGCAGTAAGTAGACGCATAAACAATCTGAAAAAATTAAATCATAAAGCAAGATTGTTGAACGTCATAAATTCTTAATCACTTCTGTATGATGCATAAATAAGTACAAGAAGATAACTTGTAGAGGAAGAACTTGCCTCATATTCCTTTGTGGCCTATCAAATATATCACGCTGATTAACTGTTGGCATGGAACCATGCAATGGAAGAACTAGAAATTTGCTAGAATCACCAAGAAAAGAGTTTGCTTTAATCTTGTCAAGCAATTTTGATATCTCATCCCATCCAGTAAGGAACACAAGGATTGCTCCATCACCTTCATATCGACAAATATACTCAACTGTTGCTTCAACCTTAAATGATCAAACAAAAGAAAAGCAAATGAATTTTGCAACTAGAAGCACAGCAACTAAACAAATGGCATGAAAGTTGATGCACTACACCAAAATAATTCAACTCTTAGGCTATTCAGTTTTTTGCAAGATAACAATATTTCTCTTCTAAGTAAAACAAATATTTTCCCACTATAAATCATAGGGGAACGTGGATGCATGCATGGAAATTTGCACCGGTTTAATGCTCAATTGCTCATGGCATGGTTACGCTTCACTTCTTTAAAATAAAACAAATATCTTCCCAATAAAATGAATCATTATGGGGAATGTATGCAATGTTATATGCATGAATGGATAAAGATGGATACAGATGAACAGACATGGCTTATGCATGGGCCTGTGCATATGTATTGACAGTAGTAAAGAAAGAGAAATGGAGAGAATAAACTAAAATAACAATTTTAATAAATATCAACTCACAAGACCCAAATCAAGCAACGAGCCAGACCACGCCTCAAGAGAATGCCTTGTGGACATGCTATAATTTTTATAACAGCTATCAATTTCAACATCCTACAAAGGAGAAGAAAGAACAAACAAAACACGCATAAGAACTCCGTTGAAAATAGGATTTTATAATGCTACACAATGCATTTGCGCCAGTTTAATCTTGGCATATTACCAAGCCATACATCTTACCTTTAAGTCCTTACCTCAAACATTTCAGTCAAAGGGTCATTTTTTCTCACTGCCTGCCTCCTCCTAGAATTTCCTTGAAAATTACCAAACTCGGATCTAATCTGGAAACGAGTTTTCTCCAGGATGTCTTCAAGGAAAATTTCTTCTACAGGAAAAGTAAAACCCTGGAAAACATCCAATAAGACATTCGTGATGGCCAGAATCCAGAAAAATCAAAAGTGAGGTTTCTTAATTTGTAATAAAGGCTAGTTAGAATACCGGAATATGAATTACAGGTGAGTTTCCAAAATATTTTGAGAAGAGTTCAGCATTTATTGTAGCACTCATCAAAATTAATCGAAGGTCTGGACGCCGAGGAAGAAGATCACGCAAAATAATGATGAGAAAATCCTCATTCATGCCTCTTTCATGAATTTCATCAATTATCAGATGACTAACTCCTCCTAAATCAGGCTCTTGGACCTGTTCACAAAGTCAATTTTAGGCTTCAAAAAAAGTTTAAGCCATAAAGATAGCAAAATCTCTCACATTTAATAACATGCAAACATAATTAGGAGGTTAGAGATACACTGAAGTATCAAGAATAGACCAATAATAATAATAATAATAATCAATTTATCATTCTAATTATTATTATCATCATCATCAATTAACATGTTTAATTCAGAACGAAAAGATTATTTGGTGCTAAGAGGAAGATTAAGAAAGTCATACTACTAGAACTAAAAAAAGAATGAACTTTGCCTTGATAGACAAAGGTTAATGCAACTTTGAATCAATGTGACAACAAGCAATGAAATCCATTTATGATTTATTTGCAAGTACCCGTCCATCAATAGTTTCAAAATGAATCAAAAAACTTTAAAAATTGAACCCAAAAGCAACAAACAGCTAAAAAGAAAAACTGTCACCAGAAGACTATGTCATTATTAGATAGCCGTTATTGCTCATAGAAACAGCCACCTTCCCTTAAGCCTCCTGAATGTGACAAGAACCTCGGAAGCATTTTTTTCTTGGAGGTAGATTTGAGTTTTCACAACCAAATTTTTCCTAATGTTATGTCAGAGTTTATGTAGATCAAAGGTAAAGACTTTCTACAGGTACAAACTCCCTTCCACTAACAGAAGAATACGCTTGAATAAAAAGAGGTTGCAACTCCATTTTAGGTTCAAATTTAATATCCAGGTTTCAAGTTAACTCAATAGGGAATAGTTGGGTGGATAGAGGTAAAATTATTGAAGATCTTATGGTTCCATTATATTGGGTATACAAATGGATACAATCTGCTAACATTGGAGAAATTCTAGTAATATCATCTAGAGAGCCAAATTAGCAAACTATGGATTGTCTCCTCTCAAGTATCTCAAGCAAGCTTGTGTGGAAGTCTATGGCAAAGACATACTAATGAGGATATCAGGCATTGGAAAGTCTACCAGAGGCGGGGCCGACGATCTACGGCCACGATCACGCCGATTTATTTTAAGTTATTTTATGTATTTTGATTTATTTATGTACTTTTCCAATTTTACCCTAACTTTAGGGAAGAGATTATTGTAACCCCAATGGAAGTGAGGGAAGAGATTTTCGTAACCCCAATTGGTACTTTGGTCCAAGGTTTAAAATTGCGTATTCGGGTATTGAGGCGTTTTTCGTTCGTGAGGCGAGGCGTAAGCCTCAAAATCAAAAAATTGCGTAAACATAAAATAATTAATTTTGTATATACTAATGAGTAAATAATATATAAAACATAAAAATGCACAAGATAAATAGCAATGACATTAACATATCACATAAGAAGTTAGGAACTCACTAGTCATTAGCATTATCATCACTCATCAGTCATCACTAAGGGGGTCTTCATTTGAATCATCATTATGATGAGCTGCTCTCTCCTCTTCCCCCTCTCCTATAGAGTCCAATATCTCCCAATCAGCTTCTTCTTCCGCATTATTAGTTATTTTCCTCTTCCCTAAATAGTAAATATTTTTGAACAATATCATAATGAATAATAATGTAATACATTAATAAAAGTTAAAGAAAACAAAACTATATTATTTATATACCTTTTTTGATTTGTTCTTGAGTTGTGGTGGATGTGGATGCTTTAAGACCATCAAAGAAATCAACATTTAAATCTTCATCTTGTAATTCAGACGGCATCACTTCAACTTCATCATCTACAAACCACTCATCATCAGATGCCACATCATCGCAAAGCAAAGGATCTTCATCATCCATTAATCCTTTTTTCTTCAAATTTCTATCTCTGAGTCTCCTATTGTACATAATGTACACCAGTGAGTTCATCCTCAATGTCGACAAGCGATTTCTCCTCTTTGTATGCACTTGGTTGTAGGTACTCCAATTCCTTTCACAGCCAGATGGTTGTAAATAAACTTGGTTATTTTTTTGGCTTTAGTGAGTGCATTTTTATGTTGAGGTAGATCCCCAAGCTTCTCAAGAATCAGATCTATGCAATGTGTAGCACATGGAGTCCAATACAAATGTTTCCTCTTCTCCATAAGTTTATTACCTGCAGCCTTATAAGAACTTGCATTATCTGTCACAATTTGTACAACCAAATGTTCTCCAACCTCATCAACAATGCTATCTAATAATCTAAATATGAACTCAACATCTTTGACCTGGTCAGATGCTTCAATTGACCTTAAAAACACAGTACCATAAGGATTATTAATGAGGATGTTGATCAGACTTCTATGTTTGATATCAGACCACCCATCTGACATAATTGTTACTCCTGTTTGGGCCCAAGTCTTCTTAATTTCTTCAATGCTTTTATCAGTGCTTTCCAACTCCTCCTTCAAAATCCATGTTCTTAAATCATACATGGTTGGAGGTTTGAACCCTCTCCCAAATGCTCCAACTGAACGAATCATGTTGTAATAAGCAGGTGATGTTGCAACATTAAATGGAATTGCATTTTCGTAGAAGAATCTGCCTATATCCTTACACACTCTTCTCCGCGCCTCTCTTGCATTTTCTGGGGCCATCTTCTGTGTAGTAGAAGGCCTATCCTCTGATGTGTCAACCATATAATGATCCATAGGCCCTCTAGCACCCCTAGATGAAATGGGCTTCATAGAAGAAGATGAATCCCTGACGCTGCGCTCACTCCCGTAGTAAGATCCAGCATCAACTCTATCCTCAAATTGCTTCTGTGCAAGATGTTTTGATGTGGTAGACTTATTCATGTATGACTTTATCTCTTCCCTTACAGCATCAGGAACTTTGGAGCATGGAGCAACATTCTTGTGAGAGCCTGAAAGGTGTTCCTTCATCCTAGTCACACCACCTTTCACAACTTTATCACAGTAATTGCATTTCAGATAGACATATGTTTTATCACTTCCTCCTACATCCACCTGAGTGCTATATTTCCATGCTGGATCTTTTCTATGACCTGATGCAGCCTTATCCTTATTTTTGACCATCCTGATTGAGAGAAATTTTAGGAAGCAAACGAGTTCTTACTAATCTTTTATATGACCTGATGCAGGTCGGAGGAGACAGCAGCCTCGGAGGCTCGGACAGAAGCGTACGCTGGTCGGACGGAGAAGACAGCAACCCAACTCGCAGTCTCGCAGTAGAAGAAACCTCCAAGCAAATAAGTTTAGGGTTTAATATGCGGGCTGGATGTGTTCAGTATTATATAATGTCGAGCCGTCGATAAAGCAGAACACTGCGTACTCTATGCGTATTTATGCGTATTTTGTGCGTACACCCTACGTGCACATTGCGTGTTTTGGAGCAGATGTAATTTAATGTATGATTTTGTATTAGTAGTTAATAAAACATGATTTTCTAGGTATTGTTTGAGTACCAGGAGTGTTAATTATTTTATTGTGCGTACATTATGCGTATCTTATGCGTTATATATTGGTAAACTATGCGTTCACCATACGTTTTTTGTGCGTGGTCTCTGCGTCAACATTGCGTATTTTTAATGAAAGATAAAGTCAAAGAGAAAAAAGAACATTTAATGTACATCTTTAAATACAAAAAAAAGAACATTTAATGACTATGTACAATATAAAAAATATAAGAACAAATTAAAAGAACATTTATAACAAATACAATTTTACAAGAGACCCTAATGTACATCTTCAACAAGACAACAACATTTTATACATAGTCACCTTGACAACAACATTTATAACTTGCATTACCTTCTGTTGTCCAATATAAATCACCTTGACAACCAAGCCTTCCCTCCATCACTGCGATACTTATCCTCCTCCCATGTTCCTGATGCCAATAACTTGTTAACAGAAACCTGGTCAGGTTAGAGAGGTTTAAGTTTACAAGTTATTGGCATCAATTTCATGGGAGGAGGATAAATATCGTAGTAATGAATGGAAAGCTTGGTTGTCAAAGATTATTTATATTGGACAACAGAAGGTAAGATTTTTTACAAGAGAAGCTTGCTTTGACACTTTGCCATAAGGCAAACGTTCCTGCATTATATAGTGAAAAATTTAATGTTGAGCAATAGTAAGTAATAAATTGTAAATAAAGGCTCATAAAAATTCAACCTACCCTATTATCCTCTCAACCATATTTGCCACCCGTCAGTCCACAGCTAACGAAAATTATTATTCATGTCACGGCCCCTCAGTCCATACTCCATACTAAATGTAAGTAATCAAAAATATTTAATAGAATGTGTGCGTGTTTTATGCGTACTAAATGCGTAATTTATGCGTTTGTTGTGCGTGCCTTAAGCGTATGTTATGCGTATTTTATGCGTTCGTTGTGCGTACTATGTAAAAAACATTTCAAAATCATTTATAAAATTATTATTTTTTGCTTTAAAACAAATAAGAAATTCAAACACTAATCTTTGAACGAAATTGCCAAACACAAACTTCCAAACAAACATCATATTCCTTATTCCTCTTCCCTAAATACAATCCAACAAGAGCCATAAACCATTTGTACTTGTTCAAGTATCATGTTCAAGATTAGAAAATGAAATCATACAAATCTAACAAGAGCCATAAACATCATATATTCATATTCCTTATTTCTTCATCATTTTAATGTAAGTAACTTACAAACAAAGATATATATTAATTAAAATATTTAATAGAATTTTATGAATAAAATTTACTGCTTATGTGTGCGTGTATCATGCGTGCGTTATGCGTACGATATGCGTTCGTAATGCGTATTTTGCGAGTTCATTATGCGTATTTTATGCGTTCGTTGTGCGTTCTATGTTTAATATGTAAATTTTTCGTTGTGCGTTCTAGTAAGTAATAAATGCTCATAAAAAATCAATCTACCCTATTATCCTCCCAACCAT